AAGAGCAAGAGAGTTTGATACACACACATACACGCACGTTTGCGGGGGGGGGGGGGGGGGGGGGGGAGAGAGAGAGAGAGAGAGAGAGAGAGAGAGAGAGAGAGAGAGAGAGAGAGAGAGAGAGAGAGAGAGAGAGAGAGAGAGAGAGAGAGAGAGAGAGAGAGAGAGAGAGAGAGAAGTAGTGTGCTTCATCAAAGCTTTGACATAACACTTTTAAAATACAAAACAGAAAATTTTAGGAGAAAAAACACACACACCACAACAGACATAATGTACACAGAGATTCAGATCATAATAAACACACAACGAAATAAACGATTAACCTGAGTATGTCAGTGAGTACATGCATATACCTGACACTTTCAACATCACACCACTTCTCTAAACAAGTACAATACATAAGATGTGACAGTTGTGTGTAAAACAAAGTACACTTTTACCATATGTGGGTCCAGAAACCATTGTGGGTAAAAATAATAGATCCAACCACTCCAACAAGAATTTCATAAAAGGTGGCAAAACAGGGATTTGATGAAACTGGATGTGTCGTTCATGACTGTTGTATTTTCAAGCTGATGTGTTGTACTTTTTGTATGGATTGATATTCTTTTCATGATATAGGGTGTATGTTTAATGACTGCAGACTTTTTGAAATCAATAATTTGGGCACCGGAATTAAATTAGTGTACTACGTCAGGTTTCAAATGCCATTTAACCCTTAGTTTAGAATATCACTGCTAAATACCGGTGTTTTAATAACTGATCTTAGCTATAATGGTGTTAACTATCGAAGAAAGAGTAATTTTGGTTCAGCATGTGTTCCTTAATGGTGGCAGGTATTTGAATGTGGTTGTTCAACAATTTATGATATCATTTCCTGACACACCAGTGACCCATCCTAATAATGTTAGCAATTTAACCAGTAGAAACAAATGTGAACAGAGCTATCAATAACATAAAATGAAAAATATCTTATGCAATAAATCGCTCTCATTTAATGTCAGAAAGAGGGTGCTAAAATGTTACATAGAACCTGTTCTGCTGTATGGCAGCGAATATTGGAAGCAACTGAGATGTGGTTTCTGAGACAAATGTTTCAAATACCTTGGACAGCCATAGTAACTAACAACGATTGCTTAAAAGAGGCTAATGAAAATAGATCTCTATATATACAACAATAAGAAAGAGACAAACAATGTTCTTTGGCCACATAATGAGAAGAGAGACATTGGAGAACATCGTGACAACTGAAAAGATAAGTGGAAAGAGGAGTAGAGGCAGACCAAGAGAGATGATGCTTGATGGGCTAAAAAAAATACACCCTGTTTTATTCCAGCAGAAAGCAACTGATTCTGCAGTGGTATGCTCTTTGACTGGAATTTCTAAACCTAATTTTGTTACCTTAGAGAATTTGTTGTCATAATAGCAGTTGCCTGTTGCCTGAAAGAATGCTATGCAGCGTCGACCTGCCCTTGGCTTAACATTAAAGACATCTCCATCTTGAAACTAAGGAAAATCTTGTAGTCTCCCTCTAATTTCACCAATATATCCTACAGATCCCCGAAGCAAGCACAGTACAACTAGCGGTGTAGTTGTCCCAGAGCACACAGCCACCCAAAACATTTTATGTAATCTAGATACAATTTGCCTCACAAAATGACAGTAAATAATTATTTTTTATATTTGCTTTATTTAATATCAATCTGTTATGTGTCAGTCTTAACAAAACATAACAATAATAAACATCTTACTGACAAATATGACATCATACTAACCCATTAACTAACTAGTATTTGTTGTCACTCTGATGCACTTTGTAATGTGCCCTGGTACCTTTTTTTTTTTACAACAACCCCACTGAGTACAAACAGCATTTTTCTAAGAATGGCAATGGGTTGCCAGGACTAGACAACTCAGCAGCTTTGGGTGGCATACAAGAGAAGAATCAGAAAGTGTAATAAAGCAAGCAAGATATGGCTAAATTTGGCAATGTGGGTAAAAATAAATCCAATTTCTTATTATTTTTTTTTCTACAGAGCCTTCACAATACAGGAAGATCTTTCACACAGATTTTCATAATGGCATGAAGTAATACTGAACACATTTTGGTAGCAAACAGACAGACAGAAAAGACAGTGTAAATATAGAAACATGTAGAATTTATCATTAACAAATCATTCTACATAAAAGTAACTATTTATCGACCTCTGGTCCCGACACTGATAGGGAACAGATGACGGTTAAGAACTTGGCTTATGTTGACCATTCTCGTCACCGTTTCTCCTCCAGTTCCAACGTTGCAAGATTGTGGAAGTCCGGTTTGCAGCAGGAGCTACTGAGTTTAGTGCTCCTGGCGGCACTATGAGCTGTGATTATCGGTTATTGCCTGAGTCCCAGATTCGTACATAATGGCAATGATAGGTGATGTATTTTTCTTCGTTGTGTTGCTGGGACAAGGCGTGTGCTTTAGCTGCTATTTATTTGCTGGCTGTGGCTGCAACTTGGCCGATGACACTTGGAGAATGGTCAGGAATAGTTTTAATCTACTCATCGCCCAACTATTCGCCGAATGAAGTTGATTTTCAGCGACGACATCTCGCGGTGTGTTTAACGATGCATGCACCTTTTGGTTTGCCAGATCAAATCGTGTGTGTTTTGCTGACTGAGGACACTTTGTATGGCTACGGCATTCACTTGAAGTAGCCAGCGTATCTGACTCAGTTGGTGATTGGAATCACTGTCATAGGCGGTTGAGCAATTATGGGCCAAGCTCGTTTGCTGTGATGCCGGAACCGTTACAACTTACTAAGTTACTATTCATCAGTCAAACGCTAGGTGTAGTTGGATAAACAACTTACTGTTGAATGTCTGATCAGGTCTTCCCATTTCAGCAATCAGATACGTCTTTTTTTTTTTGTATGAAGCCTGTCTAGTCAGCCATATTTTAGGGATAGGCCTTTCTTGCACTCCCTGCTTTCCTCTTTCTCTATATCGATAATAATCTATGGGTTTGGAAAAGTTCAAAGATCTTTTTACATGTCAATACTGTACGGCATTTTTATCTCATACTGTACGGTGATTATTACGTTTAAATATTGTCCCAGGTCATTGCCGTACTAAGTCCAAGTATCTTATTACACTAGGGGTAACAAATGCCAAACCCAACGACAGGTAGAAAACGCCACCAAGAAGGTCAACTGTTTAAACTTCTATATTTGAGAACACATCGTTGACAGGCAACATGAATATGTTTCTTCAACAATTCACAGATATAATGTGTGTCCATGAAATGAATATGTTACGATCGCTTTACTTAATGACGATTCCTTTCCTCCAACATGGAGCTCAGAGACTTTGCTCTCCCGCGAACTGCGGCATCAGGAACATATCAATACAAGCCTCTACCATTCCTTCATTTCTTGTAACTGTTTTCTGTCCAATTCTTTTGTCGGCAAGTGACATTATGTCCCTCGTCATATCTCATGTTCATTAGCGGTCGTCAATAGTGAGAATCTTCGGAGTGCACACAACAAATACGATTATATTTTGAATCTTTTTACTGTCATTAAAAGAGATTGTAATTGTAGATGATCTAGTGAACCTCTGAACTTCGATGTGGTCTGTGCTGGTAACACAGAAAATTCTCTGCTAGCTGTTACTTCTACTTCTTCAGCATTCTGAGCCCCTGAGGTTCAATGCTGCAGACATCACCAGCTTCCATTAATCTAAGTGACTGTCCTTTTCCTTCCAGTTGGTGACTCCAAGTGTTTGCAGGTCTACTCTATCTTTTCTTTCCACCATGATCTTGGTCTTTTTTATTATCAGTTTAAATCACCACCAGTGGGGGCTGCATGGTCTCGAGACATGGTGTCCCCCCTAGAATGCTAGAAGTTCTGGGTTCAATCCTCCATAAAGGCTGGGATTTGTTCACGTGGACTTGGACTTCTAGTAATTTCCCCTGGTCTCTGGGTAGTAAGATTGGACGCCCGTACGCATTGTTGCGCAAGTAAAAATTCTCTTGGCAGTTGGAAATAGAAAAGAGTAGCCTAACAGCACTGCCTGGCCAAAATTTGGAGTTAAAAATCTACTCAAAAGTATTTCAGGATCCTAAAAGGTGCTTCAGAGCCTGTGCACTGTGCTGAGCTTCTTCAGGCTCAGACTTGAGTTAGAAGAAGAACAGTGCACTTATGGGTTACTACCTGTGTGCCATGATGTTGATCCGTTGTTCAAAACCTCAATCACCACTAAATGCTGGCATTATGAGGGCTAAAAAAACTGCAATGGTTGTAGGTATAATGAGAGAATGGCAGCTGAGAGGCAAAAACTGTGTTGCAAAAAGTTACGATTCATAACAATTATTTTATACCATAACATAAAATGACAAACTGAAATATCAAAATCATACATTCTTCATAACAAATATTTCAGCAAGGATTTCTTTTATTCATTCTTTCTTTTCTGTTTGTAATAATTATATTACCTCTGTTGAAATTTGCATTCTGATTACATATAACATAGAAGTGATTTTTGTATGTGCCCTTGAATTATACTGTATATAGATTGTGATATCTGTTATGAAACAATACCAACAAAAAGACAATGCAAAGCTTCCACATTGAGTTCTTATTCAGAAAATTTAAAACAAAAAACAGATCATACCACATCCTGAAACAATAAATACTCTTAGCTATGCTGGCACAAATATTCTTAGCTCTTAGCACACATGTGTTTTTGGCTTAGATACAATTAAATTAAACATGGGCTCATTCACAACTCACACAGCGATGCAGTTATTTCATAAATCACCTCACAAATGCATCCCTTAACCTGTTTTAAAAAAAGCCTTGAATACTACAAGTCAAAATGAACAAACAAATTATTGGCAAGGAATTACTCATTTCAATGTTGCTTAGTAGAATTCTGCAACAAATACATACAATCCACTTGAAGAAATAAGAATACATAAAAGGAAAAAAAGAAACAGAGACAAAAACTAAACTTCACAATGCAAAAAGTGGATTTTCATCATCATCCTGTTTCTGTAGCGTCCGTGCGGTCCTGGCCGGCTGATGACCAGTCTGTGCTGAGGCAGGTGGCAATCTCTCTGAAGCAGTTGCCCTCTCTGACAGGAATCGATCAAACTCTATGGAGATGAAACAAAGAAGAAAACCTGACATTTTGGGAAGTTAATTATACAGGTACTGCACCTGTAGCTTAGGATTATGAATGCAGTTTCATAACTCTGACACATCAGATGTGATTAATCTGCAAGGTATTAGGCAGCACAAGGTAATAGTGATATTCTTCTTCTGTAGTTCCATTCTGCCTTTCAGCGTCAGGTTTTGCAGAAGCATCGGGCGCAGGTCTTGGTAGGTGCTACAAAGATGCTGGTATTTATGACCTTAGATATTCCATCTATGCATCGCTTGCATGATCAATGATTCACAAAATAACAGCAAATTACTTAATGGAAAATGGTCCCCCCCAAAAAAAAACTTATAAACAGCCGACAAACGCTGACGTTGGTTTCTAAACTCCTGTAAAGAATAGGCAATAGGCTTAATATGTAGGTAAGTGCCACACAAAACTGGGTACTTGAGTCATGCTTAAAGAGTGTTGACAGATAAGAGGATCGACTTTACTGCACTGGATATGTATTTCATATGGCTCAGTCTTTCAATTAGTAAACAAGAAAGAAAACCCCTCAAAGCCACAGAGAAGACTACATACCAAATGACAAGTATAACCAGTCAGCTTCAAATATAACCAACACATATGACAAGCAAATGTTGCAGCCAGAGAGACTTCATCAGCACATACATAAATCTAGAATACCACAAGTGTGAACAAGAAATCATGAAAAATCTCTTAACTGACTTATCTCCAATATAATTTACATTTCTGTCTGGCCAGTAGAAAATCTGACACGTTTATGGCCACCAGAAATAAATATTGGCCAGAAGCGTTACAAGCAGCAAGGACCGTAACTCAAAGTTATTAAATAAAAATGTGTTGGATATTGAGTCCCCAAGGTTCATTGGCACCTATGAGACAAATAAGGCAATTCTAAAGACTTACAGGCTCTGTCATGAACTGATCCCCGTAACTGCCATGTTGAGGCAGGGAAAAGCCAGAGAAATGTGAGGCTACAGATGTAAGTTATTGATACAGTGGGCAGCCTAATGATTAATCAAACTGTACTGAAAAATGCCACACTCAGCAAATTTTACAAACAGGAAACATTACCCATTAATGACATTAACAAGCAGTTTCAAGAAAAGGGAAGAAATGAACATAAACTGAATATTTCATATTTTATAATCACTTCTTAATTTTAATTTACTGTGTTTACAAAAACTGTCTGGAAAAAAAAGGTCCTGTAAAATTATAGCATCTGTAATGATGATTATGACATTAGTATGCAGCAGAAATAAAAAAGTGACCCAAATTAATAAAAACTGAATATTTTGTATCTTATAATCACTTCTAAAATTTTTAATCAGTAATGATTAGAGAAACTAAGAAGAAAGAGGAATATAGTGATAAATTGATCCTGTAAAATTAATAGAATTTGTATTCAAGTTTATGGCAGAGTACTTCACATGATCATTATTTTTGAAAACATTATCATCATCATCATCATGTGCCCTGTCAACAGGCGTAAGCACACATGCGTCTCCGTAGATCCCATCTCTGGTTGCCTGGAACAGCTCTCTTGATGAAATCCCTCCAAGCCATTATTTCAGCCCATCCAGCATCATCTCTCTTGGTCTGCCTCAACCCCCTTTTCCACTGATCTTTCCAGTTGTCACAATGTTCTCCATTTATTTAATATTTACTGCAATATATACGCTATTTCCCCTATAAACAAGTTTACATGCTAATAAATTAAAATAAAACTCAAATAAAATCCAAAATAAAATATTTTTAGATTGGTGCAAGCTATAAAAAAATAAACTGCATTAAAGAAGTATTTGTGAATGTTTAACTTTTGAAATGAATGGCACCATTAAACTTAACCATCAAAGCAGGCACTTGAGATACTGAAATGTGTGATGTTTTTTCTAAAAATGATAAATAAAGGATGGCAACACAATGAATCAATGTTCTTTTTTTGTTTATAAAATGACATACACAAAACATGCAAAGAAAAAGAAATACAATTAAAACTGCAATATCACCAGGTAAATGACAACCAAATATTTAATAATATAACAATTCATGAAAAGAAGAAAAGATGACCCAGGACCAAGCTTACAGTAATAATGTAGTAACATGCAATGAGACTGTACCAATTCTTCTAGTTGGTAACAGTGTAGTGGCCAGTTACTTACATAACATTTCCATCTGAACACAATAAAACATTATCAATCTTTACAAAGACCCTGTCACCTGGCATAACACATAAACCAAAATGCACTACCAAAATAATACTGGGGATGACAAAAATGTATGATTATAGAAATGATCTTATAATTTAAGATTATAGAAATGATCCTTCAATATATGATTATAGAAATGATCCTATAATTTAAGATTATAGAAATGATCCTTCAATATATGATTATAGAAATGATCCTATAATTTATGATTATAGAAATGATCCTTCAATATATGATTATAGAAATGATCAATATATGATTATAGAAATGATCCTACAATTTATGATTATAGAAATGATCCTACAATGTATGATTACAGAAATGACTCTAAAATTTTATGATCAAGCCGAACAAAAATGACGAACCTACTACAATATGATGTAGTTGTAGTTCAAATGATCCTACATGGATTTTATGATTCTCTGGGTAATAAGAAAAAAAAATGACCCATAAAAAAAAATGTATAAATTATAGAAATGAATCCTACAATTACCTAATGATTTACAGAAATAATTTGGGATGCCTAAAATTTTATACATGCAATAAATAGCTGAGGATTACAGAACACACTCTTGAGGGACTCAGAACTGTAAACATTTTATTTCTCTGAGAGTTGATCCTGTGAAAGGCTTTATTTCTTAGTCCATGTATGCAAGATAAAGTGTGGTGTTATATTTTATTTCTCTGAGAGTTGATCCTGTGAAAGGCTTTATTTCTTAGTCCATGTATGCAAGATAAAGTGTGTTATCATATTCTATTTCTCTGACAGCTGATACAGTGCAAGGCTTTATTTCTTAGTCCATGTATGCAAGATAAAGTGTGTTATCATATTCTATTTCTCTGACAGCTGATACAGTGCAAGGCTTTATTTCTTAGTCCATTTATGCAAGATAAAGTGTGTTATCATATTCTATTTCTCTGACAGCTGACCCTGTGAAAGGCTTTTTCTCAGACCATGTTTGCAAGATAAAGTATGTTATCATATTCTATTTCTCTGACAGTTGACCCTGTGAAAGGCTTTATTTCTTGGTACATGGATGCAAGATGATGTGTGTTATCATATTCTATTTCTCTGACAGATGAGCCTGTGAAAGGCTTTATTTCTTAGTCCATGTACGCAAGATAAAGTGTGTTATCACATTCTGTTTCTCTGACAGTTGAGCCTGTGAAAGGCCTTTTTTCTTGGTCTATGTGTGCAAGATAAAGATATTCTATTTATTTCTCTGCTTCACGTCATAGTGTAAAGACAGCATCAATGCAGCATTTCATTTTTCCTGAAGTCCAGTTGTGCTTCACTGAGATGTTACCAACAATACAAGAATAAGATTAACAGACTGATTTAATAAAGAGATGATATCATATCACTCCAGGAAACCCACAGAAAGCCCGAAGCAAATGCAACAAGATGAAGCTGCTGGCTGGTCCAGTGGCTCTTTGATTGTGAATGCAGATGCTGAGCCTGTCTAGTTAACTGCTCATGGATTATTAAACTGAATTCAAAATATAAACAAACAAAAATGGAAAAGAAAACAGGTGAAAAGGCTAAGTCTGTACACAAAGCTATTAAAGGCATATAATATGCCTTATTTAGAAGTTTTTGCCACAGTAAAACTCATAGGGGATTAACTGGATTATTTTATTATTATTATTATTTTTTTTTTTTTACAAATACAATGAATAAAAAGGTAAAGAATGGCCTACAGCAGATGCTACTATCTGGCTGTGAAGTGTCAGCCCTTGACACATTCTAGGCCAGGATCATTCAGCTAAGTTTGCTCAGGGGTCAAAATTATGGAAAGTGGAGATCAACGCAAGCTACAGGACCAAGCCCCAGCATGGAAAAGACATTAATGCAATACAGAGTTGAGTTGAGTCAAGAATTGACATCACATCACTAGGGGCATTCCCATGTGTGCTCCGTCATCATCTTCAGCAGCCAGTGCAGAGTTCCAATACTGATGGTACTGGTCACAATCTGGTTATATGTCCGTCTTGCCTTTCCTCTGAGTGTAGTGAGCCGGTCACGCCCTCTGGTTACACCAAGGTGCTGTTAGAAATGGTGGTGCTGGAGTGTACATAGAATTCCCAGATGAAACTAGGGATAAGTCCAGCGTACCAACCGGAAAGTACTGCCATAACTATGATGCAGAAACTCAGGCTATCAAGATAGCAACAGAGAAAATGCTAAATACCAATCTTGGCTCCCAGTATGTAGTAATGCTGACAGATGCAAAACCAGTACTTGAAGCACTCCAGTCTAGGAAACTACCAGAAATGCAAACACTGCTGACACAACTTAGCCTTCAGGAAAGAGTTGTAATGCAGTGGATACCATCACATTGTGGAGTGCCTGGAAATGAGAAAGCTGATCAACTGGCAGGAGAAGGTGCGACAAAAGTGCAGCCGGACGTACCAGTCACATACCACCAAAAGAAAGGAATCATTAAATCAATCAGGAAACCACCAGCCCCAGCACAAGACGACTATTTTATTTTGGACAGATCAGAATAAGTCATTATCCTCCACTTCAGAACAGGACACAACCAATTACATAACCACATGTACACAAAATTCAAGATAGGTGTATCAGCCATGTGCAGTGCACCTGTGGAAAGGTGCCCCAGACAGCAGAAAATTTGACACATTAAGGCAAACCTTTTGGCCAGAAAGAACAGTGGAACGTAAACTCTATAGACCACTGAATGGATTAACAACAACAGTGAAATTTATATAAGAGACAAAATTGCTGATATAGACAACTTATATCATATAACCAGAGAAGAAGAAGACACCAAGGTGTCTCATTCTCTTCAGGCTATAATAATCTTGTTTCTCGACTGATTCCACTGCTTGTTCCCTAAGGGCAAATGCAATACAGTTGACAGATAATCTACGGGCCATTTGCTAGGCATCTACAGGCCCCCAGTTAAATAGCCCTGATCCAGGCCATGACACATGAGATGGGGTTGGCAAGTTCTCTTCCTCGTTGTCTTTTTTTCACAGACATTTCAAGAAAAATTCTGGAAATTATTTAGAACTCATTTTTAAGAGGCTGGGTTAGTATCAGAACCAAGTTGGCCTATGCATGTGCTGCCAAGTTTGCTACACCCTGTCCTGAGGTGTAAAATAATGATCTGTCCATGATGGTCAAGTAAGTGGTAGTCATTGCTGGCCTAATTCCACTAATTTTCGACAGAGTGTGTGGGCCACCCCCGCCCCCCCCCCCCCCTTTCCAACCCAGTTTTTAAAAATCAAAGTATCTTGGTGCATTGTCTTCCTGTTCAAAATCTCCCAGTCTGCCACTTATGGGAGTTGAACATGAGCAACTGAACTGGCAAATAAGTGCACTATCCACTTTGTCACCACAGTTCTTAGACAGGTACTGGAAAATCAATTAACATCTTCAATCAAGGTAGATTTGTAAGTGGTAATACAGTCCCATACAGACAGCAGTAAAAGTGTCTCTTACCTGAACTTGTAATAGGTTCCTGTGGTTTCACATCCTGAGACAGAAACATAAATATTATACTGAGGCCTTCATCCTCTAAATCTGAACTGATCATTATATTAGTTAATAACTTCATATATAATAACTAAAGTGAATCTTATAAACTAAAGTAAATCTTATCAGAACTATTTTTTGGCCAACACTATGCTATCAATGCCAAACGTGGACACTTACATCCTCCAATGAACGTAAAATTGTGACAACAGAGATGAAATGCCTTAGAAGAACTGCAGGAGTTTCAAGGAAAGACAGAATACGAAATCATGAAATCAGACGAATGCAAGGAATAAAGCCAGTCTTAAAGGTCATCAAAGAACAACAAATGAAGTGGTTTGGACACCTAACAAGAATGCCCTAGTACTATCCACACTAAAACATTACAACGGGTATAGAGCGAGTGGAAGACCTTGGAAAATATGGAGTGATGGCATTAAGAACAGCCTTACAGAAATGAACATCAGTCTTAATAGTGCTCTTAACAGAGCTCATCAACGAACATTACATCTCCCCCTGACACTTCGATGAGGTAAAAGATGGAAGAGAAGAAGAATAACTTCAGCGGCTGGATGAGCAGTAAGAATGTAGGCTCTCATGCAGGAAATGCAGGTTTAAATCCTCAGTAAGGTGAATGATTTGTTTCTGTCAGGGGCGAAACTAAAATCCTAACCGGCAGTCTGTGGCACTAGCCATGCAGTCCTAAAATCTCAGGCTCAAAACCACCCCATCCAAAACTGCCCTAAAAAAAAGTGGTACCTAAAGGCAGTAAAGACAGTTTTAAAACTACTTTAAATCAGTTACATGATGCTTTTGTCTAAGCAATTTTAACATTTCATTTCTTTACCGTATCTCACGTTTGCTGTTATCAAGCTATCTAAAGGCTTAAACACATTGAATTGCTTCAGACTAGCTGATTTTTACTCGAATGTGCATTATATAGAACAGTGTGTGTGGGTATGTGTTTGTGTGCACGTATACACGCCCGCATTCCAGTGTTTATAATTACCATTTTTCTGTTTTTCCAGTGTTAAAGATAAGACCCTTATTTTGAATTTCTGTTGTGATGAGATCAATAATCACTTGCTACAGAGCATCACAGTATGGGAGAACATCAGTATCAGAAATAAATTATTGGCAGAACATTTGACAGAAGGCAGTGGGCCAGAAGACTGTGGGGTACATGACAAAAGGCTGTGGACAACAAGACAGAAGGCTGTGGGCAACATGACAGAAGGCTGTGAGCCACATCACAGAAGGCTGTGGGCCATATGACAGAAGGCTGTGGGCCACATGACAGAAGGCTGTGGGCCACAAGACAGAAAACTGTAGGCCACATGACAGAAGGATGTGGGCCACAAGACAGAAGGCCTAAGGCCACATGACAGAAGGCTGTGGGCCACATGACAGAAGGCTGTGGGCCACACAACAGAAGGTTGTGGGCCACAAGACAGAAGGATGTGGGCCACAAGAAGGAAGGCTGTGGCCAGAAGACAGAAGGCTGTGGGCCATTTGACAGGTTGTGGGCCACAAGACAGAAGGCAGTGGGCCACACAACACAACAGAAGACTGTGGGCCACAAGACAGAAGACTGTGGGCCACATGAAAGAAGGCTGTGGGCCACATGACAGAAGGCTGTGGACAACAAGACAGAAAAACAATGATCTGAATACCGAACCACAGGCTTGACAACACAGAGCAGTGTATTTCACTTCATGCTACAAGAAATTACAATAAGACAAACAACTAAAGCATAACACCCACCCCATCTCCATGTGTTGCTAGCCACTGCTCCATCTCATCATAGTCTGTCTCTTTTTCCTGTAACTGAGAACACCATAGATTCTGTTAGCAAGTGTGACATTTAACAATACAAGTAGAGAGCAGGTCTTATCAGACAACTATTGTTACCTGCTATGAATCTGTTATAAGAGACTGGGGAAAACCGGTTAAAAAGAGATAGGGAAAACCTAGACAAAAATATTAACTCGATCTTAACCTTCAGCTTAAGAATGGTGGTGGAGACCGTCACTGCAGCTGTCCGCTGGCTAGAGAACATGATACACATGTACGCACACACATCAAGACTGTAACTGACTCAGAAAGCATGTGGAGAAAGGTGAATATGCTTCGAGCAGAGTGGCATGCTTCGTGTCGGAGGTTATGGGTGAAGAGCAGTCTGAATCTTTTCTCCCAGGTGTGCCAGTTGTGTTGGGAAATGAATAGACTGGCTGCTTGGTGTAATACTCGTTGATACTTGACGCTCAGAGGAATGGCAAGACAGATATTTAGACTAAGGTAAGATGGGATATATAATCAGACTGCTACTGGCACCACTGGTATTGGAACTTTGCACTGGTGGCTGAAGATGGGGACTGAGCATTTATGGGAATGCCCCAAGTGCTGTCATCTCAGTTCTTGAATTAACTCAACTAAGTTAACTTGATCTTTTACAAGAAAAAACATTTGTGTCAGTAATGACTGGCAATGCATCAGAGGGCAGACTGTGGACAAACATGGCAACCAAGGCCATAGGACATCAACAATAAAAGTTATATCTACAGCCGTAGGGACTATAAGTGTCTGTTGTCATATATATATATATATATATATATATATATATATATATATATATATATATATATATATATATATATATATATATATATATATATATATATATATATATATATATATATATATATATATATATATATATATATATATATATATACAAGGGTTTCACACACACACACACACACACAAAACCTTAAAACTGTGATAGAAATTACAATAACCATGCCACTGTCATTTGTACTTTACTTTTTAAGAACATTTTCACACACACACACACAATTAAAGGTTTTCATTTGAAGCCCCCTCGTTCTTGGATAACAACATGAGGGTATCGGTTTTTATTGCAGCTTCTTCTCTTCTCAAAAAACTTATTTAAATGTTCTTATTTTATAATGCTGGATTCACCAGAAACAGTCAAGAGAAAATTCACTGCTGCTTGCTAGAAGAAGGGATTTGAACTCTGGACTACTGGTAAAAGGGTACACTAACCACTTTAATGCCACGCTCTTAGGCAGCACAGTAAAATTAAACAAAGAAAAAGTCCTATTTTCATGTCAGTGATGCCATTTAGCATAGGTGGTTAGACATGAGAGCAAAGGTCAGGCGGCACAGAGTGTACATATATGTACTGTCAGCTGTTCTGATGTGGCAAAATGCACATGTCTACAGATTTTCCCTGAACTAAGCCCTACTATAAACAGGTGTAGAAATGTTGAATGCTGAACTAAGAATCAATTTCTCAGCACTCAGACACTCCCATTAGCCCTCCGTTCCCATTCTTCGGCAGCAAGCGAAGAGTTCTAATTCCCATGGCACCAGTATCTGCCTGATTGTATATCTGTCTTGCCTTTCCCTTGAGGGTTGGCCAGATCTCCTGGTAACTCCTGGCAGCACCATTCTCCGCAATGATCTATCTGTGCCTTCACACTGTTCACTCGCTCCCAAAGGGCCCTTACAACATCTAGCTTGTTATACGTCCATTCACCCCTATTTGGTGAAACAGGCGTAAAAACAAAAACAATATGTGATATAAGAGTTAACAGTTAAGTATTTGAAGGATTAAAAAAAATTCACTGTGGTGTATGTAAACACCAGTAACTGCTAGTGTTCGTACATTAGTTCGTCCATCACAAGTGATGAGGATCACTCTCTCTGTCATCTGTCATGAAACTGCAGTTAAATGTTTGTGAGTCTAGAGATGACTTATAAGCCCAATACGTGCCCGGAAGAGTCTAGGACAATGAGGGCAGGGCAAAGTCTCTCTAGACAAAGGGCCTGTTTGACGGGTTTTTTCTGGCCTGTCTTCACTGTTTAGCTGCCCTTGTTCTAGATGCCTCGCATATCGTTGCACCTTCTTAGATATGTGTGTGCCATTATGTCCAGTCTTGTGCTGACTGCTGGTTTGCTTCCACAGCCAATTAGTAAAGCAAAGAATAGAAAAAACTGTAACCATAAGGTTTAAACAGGTCAAAGGAGGTGACTAACCAGTGTTGGCATGCGACTAGCTACCTCAGCCTACAGAAAACCCTAAGCTGGGTCGATCTGAGACCATTGTGTGTCCGAGCAAGTCCGGCTCAAGCTGGCGGGTCATGCTGCTGACATAACCACACCGGGCTAACTATACATTGACACAGCGATTCTCAAAGTGGGTGTCACGAGTGTATGTCAGGGGTGAAGCGGCAACAATAAATAATTTTCCCAATCTGCTTGATTTGCAGTTTTTTCTTGTTTTTTAAAGAGCTCAAACCGCTTTAAGGATAGGTGTGCTGCTGCGAAATTAGTTTTTTTTCGACAAAAAGAGTTTGAGAAACACTGCTTAAACGTATCGTTAGCCCGGTTTAGTGACGTCAGCAGCATGGCCCATCAGCTGCAGCCGATCTTGGTGTGTTTGTATATAAATCTATTGTAACATTATTCAATTTTACACTTACATAATGTCATACACCTACAACACTACAAACATAAAACTGCCTTAACAATCTTTCTTTCTGCTTATTTGCAATCTTATTTAGATTATGTAAAAAAATTTATGAACAGAAAAAAAGAAAAAATTATTTAGAATCCAGACTTAAAGCAAAATACCAATATAATGCGAGCTGTCAAGAAAATATAAGCAAAAGTAAAGCAAAAGACCTTTGTCTGTATCCTGAAGTAAAAGAACCCCTTTCCCCACTTTCAGGCGCATTGGGCATATAGTGTTAGACCTACATTTCATAGACCAATGGGCACTCTGTGGGTGATAGGATCAAATTCATGCCAGCCACATTTACCTCCCAATATCTGGAGTATAATGATGTTAGCTCTATATGTTTTTCATTAAATAAAAGTCTGTAAGTAAGTTAAAAACAGAAAGTAAAAGACTCTTTCCACGCCTTCAGGTGTAGTGGGCATATAGGGCTAGATCTATATTTTATAGACCAATCTGCCCTCTGAGGGTGATATGGTCAGCATCATGCCAGCCTCCTTTACTACCCAGGACTCCACCTGGGACCCATGCAAGGCTAGGTCGACCTAGGAGCCAAGGACAATTTTTGTTCAAAAGTCTGGTAACGTTAGGACCCAGACCCAAATCCTTTCGATCCGTAGGTTAGCGACTAGCCGCTACACCATGAGGACTCTCCACTCAGACAGTGAGGTGATTCTTCTTCTTTCTTTTTTTCGTTCAGTTTCGTATGCTCAGATTAGACCATCAGGTCGGTTTTCTCTACAAACTCGTATGTCAGTAGCAGGTCCTTCAAGGTTCACCATAGCTTGCTCTGCACACTTCGCTCTTGAGGCCAGGTGTCTTTTTGAAGTTGTGTGTAGAGTGGTCTACAGAATGTGTTCAGGTGTTTGTGGTCCTGTTTGACAGGCACACTGTGAGGACTGTACAATCTTTATTTTATACATGTGGTAAGTGAGCCTGCAGTGTCCTGTTCATAGACGGAAAATTGTTGTATGTTGCTTTCTGTTGAGTTTGCAAATAGGGTCTTGTGGATGTTTACTGTTTGTTCTCTCCACAATTTTCTTAAGTGATGTGATTAACATCACACTGGTTTATTTTCTGTTCTGGGTTTAAGGGCTCTAATTTGGCTGGGGGATGGGGGGTGGGGGGTGTAGACCCACTGCCCCTTTACAAACATGTAATAAAACATGTCAAATGAATGTTCAAACAAAACTCAGGTTCTGGAACAAGACTAAAATCCAGAAGTAGATAAACAACCAGAACATCATCCAGTGAAGAAGAAGAAGAAGAAGAAGAAGAAGAAGAAGAAGAAGAAGAAGAAGAAGAAGAAGAAGAAGAAGAAGAAGAAGAAGAAGAAGAAGAAGAAGAAGAGGTTTGAACATGTGACCATGGTACCACCAGGCAGGCGTGTTTGCCATGTTTTCCTGCAGTCTAAAAAAAAACTTACATTATAAAAGCTACAACTAAGGAAAACTATATAGAAACCTTTATTTTCACCGCAAAAAAAAAACAAAAAAAAAAACAGAGAGAGAGAGAAAGAGAGAGAGAGAAAGAGAAAATAAGATACAAAAGAAATTAGGCACAATATAAAAATAAGATGTTTATTATGTTATGAAGAAGGATATACATAAAATGTCCAAAAGCAAACCATGAACAAGGCAGCACACATCTTCAACAGCAGTAAACATCAAGAACAAATACACAACATTTGTGCTCACAATTTAAACATAATATAAACATGCATACACAAAGACAAGCACACTAGCTGGTTAGTGTCTATGCTACATTGTAGATTAAGAGTGTATATGTGTTTTTTCTCCAGCTAACATTGGAAAATTATATTATTTTCCTGACTACATCTTAGCGCTACTGACTACCCAATACAATTTCATTATAGCATTCTTGAAATCGTCATGTGAAAAACCTACTAAACAAAACATTAGTTATAAAAGCATCAGACGCCTAACCAGGTTAAATCATTGTGTATTTATTACCACAGGTATCATGCAATCAGAGCTATCATGCTCAGTGACTTTCCAACATTCAACAGGAGAGGACCTTTTTACTCTTTCCCTATTGAACTTTCATAGTATTTTGCAGAACCAAATCACATATATGAACATTACTGACCGTAAAGGAGGCAAAGAAGACTAAAGAGAAACACTTTACAGATGGTAATGGCAGAGAAGACAATCATTTAACTACCTAATGGGGAGGCATGGATTTATTCATGCAAAGACAGGGTTTAAAAAATCAAGATGTCCATATAACATTTGAATGAGCCCAAAAGACAACTAGAAAATTT